GTGTCCGGCAGCCCCCTCTGGCACCCTGTCAGGTCTCTACCTCCCCTCGTTCTCTACGAACTTGGTGAGTGGTGCTGACCTACAGGATGGGGGGGTTGACCAGTTCACTCCTGCGAGTCAGCGGGTGACCCACTGTACGTGTGCTCGGACGGGCCGACACTTGGCCACGTTTACCCGTCGGCCGGGGTCGAGCCTGTACACACTGACTACTGAGTCCCCTCCGGTTGCTGAGTCTGGTTAGGTAGCTGCGTCGAGTCAGGTGTTTGCTGCAGCGTCCAGGTCCGGTCCTGAGTCTGCTCCCTGCTCGTGTCGTCTCCTGTCCCACCAGACTCTCCTCTGGCACCACCGCCTTGGTCACCCCTCCTTGCCTCGTCTTCGAGGTATGGCCTCCCGTTACCTTGTCTCTGGTCTCCCCCGGTCCCTCCCTCCCCTCCCTCCGGGGCCTGCCCCTACCTGCGTTTCCTGCGTCGAGGGACGGCAGCGCGCCGCCCCTCACTCCTCCGAGTTTCCTCCGACAGAGGCTCCGCTGCAGACTCTTCACATGGACGTGTGGGGCCCCGCCCGCGTCCGTGGCCAGGGTCACGAGCGTTACTTCCTGTTGGTGGTTGACGACTACTCGCGTTACACCACGGTGTTCCCCTTGCGCAGCAAGGGTGACGTCACTGGGGTGTTGATCGACTGGATCCGCGCAGCTCGTCTCCAGCTCAGAGAGATTTTCGGCTCGGACTTTCCTGTTCTGCGTCTGCACTCTGACAGAGGCGGGGAGTTTTCCTCTGCCCGTCTGGGAGCCTTCTGTCGTGCACAGGGCATCCGCCAGACCTTCACGCTTCCGGCCTCTCCACAGCAAAATGGGATTGCTGAGCGCCGCATTGGCATGGTCATGGACGTCGCTCGTACGTCCATGATCCATGCGGCTGCTCCCCATTTTCTGTGGCCGTTTGCGGTTCGGTACGCAGCGCATCAGGTCAACCTTCAGCCCCGAGTCTCCTTGCCGGAGACCTCCCCCACCCTGAGGTGGATGGGGAAGGTTGGCGATGCGTCTGCGTTCCGTGTCTGGGGATCTCGGGCGTTTGTCCGCGACTTGTCTGCGGACAAGCTGTCCCCCCGTGCGGTTCCCTGCGTCTTCCTTGGCTCCCCCCCTGACGCGCCTGGTTGGCAGTTTTACCACCCCACCTCGCGCCGTGTTCTGTCCTCCCAGGACGTCACGTTTGACGAGTCGGTGCCTTACTACCGTCTCTTCCCCTACCGCACTGCGCCCCTCCCCCCGCCGCCGCTCTTCCTTGCGCCAGGTCCTCCCCCAGTAGACCGTCTCCCCCCTCAGGGTCCTGCCCCGTCAGGTGTGTCCCAGGTAGACGCAGTCGAGCCTGTCGAGGTAGCTGTTGACTCTGGTGCTGCTAGGGGTGCTGAGTCTGGGGGTGCGGAGCCTGGGGGTGCGGAGCCTGGGGGTGCGGAGCCTGGAGGTGCTGAGCCTGGGAGTGCAGCGCCTGGGGGTACGGAGCCTGGGGGTGCTGAGCCTGGGGGTGCGGAGCCTGGGGGTGCTGGGTCTGCTCGTGTGGCCTCTGGCGGTGCTTCGTCGAGGCGGGAGCTCCCCTCTCCGCAGGAGCTGCGCGAGTGGTTTGCCCGGCGCTGGAGCCGTGCTGCTGGAGCGGGAGGTGCTACGATTGCTGCTGACCCTGGGGTCGGCACTGGAGTTACTGGAGCCACTGGTCCTGGAGGTGCTCGTACTGGCGGTGCTGGAGCTGCTGGGACTGGGGGTGCTGCTGGGGCTGCTGGAGTTGGTCCTGCTGGAGGTACTGCGGGAGCTGCTGGCGGTACTGGAGCTGGCGGTCCTGCTGGAGTTGGTGCTGCTGGTGCTGCTGGAGCTGGAGCTGCTGGAGCTGCTGGAGCTGGAGCTGCTGGGGGTGTTGGCGCTGGAGGTGCTGCTGGCGCTGGTGCTTCTGAGGGTGCTGGAGTTGACGCTGTTGGAGCTGGAGGTGCTGCTGGTGCTGGTGCTGCTGGAGGTACTGGAGCTACTGGGCCTGGAGGTGCTCCTGGTGCTGGAGCTGCTGACGGTACTGGAGCTGGCGGTCCTGCTGGAGTTGGAGCTGCTGGAGCTGGTGCTGGCGCTGGAGGTGCTGCTGGCGGTGCTGCTGGCGCTGGTGCTTCTGAGGGTGCTGGAGTTGGCGCTGTTGGAGTTGGAGGTGCTACTGGCGCTAATGCTGCCGCTGGGGGTACTGGTGCTGTCCCTGCTGGTTCTGGAGGCGCTGCGCGGCCACGGCCGTACTTCGTTCCGCTCCTTGAGCAGGTTCTTGGTCTCCCGCCCTCTACTGGTCCTGCTCCTCCCTTAGAGTGTCCACAGCCTGTCCAGTCGCGGTCACAGTTACAGCCCGCCTCCCCCCTGTCTGCTCCTTCTCCCTACACTGGTCCTACTGGAGGTCTTGCTGAGCGTCGTGAGCCTGCGTCTCGTCCTGCGTCGCCTGTTCGTGCTGCTCGCACTAGTAGTCGTGCTCCGCGTCCGCGTCCTCCTGCGGTCCCAGGCACGCACCAGATGGCACTGCGTCCTTCCACTGCTCCTCTGCGTGTCCCGTTGCCGTCTCCTCCAGAGTCCTCTCTTCCTGTCCTTGCTGACCCGGAGTCTGACTCTCGTCGTGCTGCCAGTCCTACTGTCACGCGTCTCCTGGCTACTGTTGTCACTGACCCTTCCTTTGAGTCCACTGCTGCGTCTGCCTTAGTTGCTGAGCTTGTCGACTTTGCTGCTCGCTGTCGTCTAAACTACGCTACTAGTCTTGTTGCTGAGTCTGAGTCTGTCTGTCCTCCGTCCGTCGGGGGTGAGTGTGCTCTTAGCACGGACGTCCTTGAGGACAGGCAGGAGGAGTTCCAGTGTTTTGCTGCTGCTTTGCCTCATCTCGTGTCCACGCTGATTGCCCCTGAGGGAGACCCGGATGCACCAGACATCCCGACTCCTCGATCGTACGCTGAGGCGATCGAGGGTCCCTACTCCTCACAGTGGCAGTCAGCCATGGACGCAGAGATGGCTTCTTGGAAGTCCACAGGCACCTACGTCGACGAGGTTCCCCCACCTGGGGCGAACATCGTCAGTGGCATGTGGATTTTCAGGGTGAAGCGGCCGCCGGGTTCTCCGCCTGTCTTCAAGGCGCGTTACGTGGCTCGAGGCTTCAGTCAGCGGCAGGGAGTTGACTACTTTCAGACCTTCTCTCCCACCCCAAAGATGACCACTCTTCGGGTGCTGCTGCACATAGCCGCTCAGCGCGACTACGAGCTTCACTCTCTTGACTTCAGCACAGCTTTCACGCAAAGCAGCCTGCACGAGGAGATCTGGCTGCGCCGCCCACCTGGCTTCACTGGGTCGTTTCCCCCTGGTACCCAGTGGAGCCTCCGGCGGCCAGTCTACGGTCTCCGCCAGGCGCCCCGTGAGTGGCACGACACACTGAGGACTACACTTGCGGCTCTTGGGTTTGCTCCTTCTACTGCCGACCCGTCGCTGTTTCTACGCACCGACACCTCTTTGCCGCCGTTCTACATCCTCGTGTACGTCGACGACTTGGTCTTTGCCACAGCTGACACTGCTGGACTCGCCCACGTGAAGTCCGAGATACAGAAGAGACACACGTGCACAGACCTGGGTGAACTGCGCAGCTACCTTGGCTTGCAGATCACCCGGGACAGAGCACAGCGCACCATTACCCTGACTCAGTCACACATGGTGCAGCAGGTCCTTCAGCGCTTCGACTTCACGTACTCCTCGCCTCAGGCCACTCCTCTGTCTACTCGTCACTCGCTCTCAGCTCTACCTTCGGATGAGTCCATAGAGCCGAGTGGCCCGTACCCAGAGCTTGTTGGCTGCCTCATGTACCTGATGACCTGCACACGACCTGACCTAGCATACCCTCTTAGCATCTTGGCACGCTATGTTGCTCCTGGGAGACACCGACCAGAGCACATGGCTGCAGCGAAGAGGGTGTTGCGCTACTTGTGCAGTACGTCGGGCATGGGGCTAGTGCTTGGAGGGCGACGTCCAGTGGTCCTCACAGGTCACGCAGACGCTTCTTGGGCTGACGACCAGGCTACGCAGCGGTCGTCACAGGGTTACACCTTCAGCCTTGGTTCCGGCTCTGTTTCGTGGCGGTCTACCCGCTCTTCTTCTGTTCTCGGCTCCAGCTGTGAGGCTGAGATCTACGCGGGGGCCATGGCTGCACAGGAGTTACGCTGGCTCACCTACCTGCTGACTGACCTAGGAGAGCCGCCTCGTTCTCCTCCAGTTCTGTACGTAGACAACAAGGCCATGCTGGCCTTGTGTCGGGAGCACAGACTGGAGCACAGAACGAAGCACATTGCTCTTCGCTACTTCCTTGCTCGTGAGCTGCAGCAGCGTGGTCAGCTGCGCCTTGCTTACGTGGCCTCTGAGGCCAACACTGCTGATATCTTTACCAAGGCACTTCCGCCTTGTGATCATCAGCGCTTATGTATGATGCTAGGTCTTGTGCCTACTTGGCCTCACTTGCTCACTTCTTGACCTTACTTGTACTGTGATCTTTCTATACCTGCACTTGCTTGTTTACCTTTATATATGATCTTGCATATGAACTGGCTTTGTGGCCTTGAACTTGTGCTCAGACTGTGTGGTGACGTTGTGATCCACCCTGAGCTTGCTTTGTTTTGCTTGACTGGTCTTGTGACCTCTTGTTCTCCCCCACTTTGCCTATGGGGGTGTGTCAAACTTATATGCTATAGTGTGTGTAGGCTGTAGTGGGGTAGACAATATGGGGTACAACATCTCTAGGTTTTTCTACTTATACCCACCTCTTTCCTAGTTCATTCATTCCTCATTTCTTCACAATACAGATACCGTAATAAACACACAACCGTCATAAATAAAATTCAGAATAAATTATTGCTAACCTATCCCACCTTACAACCCTCCCTCCCTCCTTCCCTCATCTCCATCCCACTCCCTCATCTCCCTTCTCAGCTCACGCACGCGCCCTGCAAAATCAGAGAAGTCAACACACACACGCCTTGCACAAAGTTAAAACAGGGAAGTCAACACACACACGCCCTGCACAAGAAAGAAAGAACAAAGAAAGCAAAACACACCTTGCACAAAAATCAGTGGATGTTCATACACTGTGTACAAGAAAGCAAAAATAGGATACCGCAACACACATGCTCTTACAGGAGGCCAAGCAAGAAATACAAATCACATTCCCTCACATGCATTGCAGAAGGCATCAACGCATAGCAGAAACGTGCCAGTGCACTGTAGTGCACGAGTACGTTGCGAGGTGCCTGTCAGAATATTATGCTCTAGCCTGTAGTGGGGTGCTCTATAGCGAGTACAACCCTTCTAGGGTTTGCTATTTGTATCCTCATTCTTGCTAGTGCAACTCCTCTTTCTTTGCCTAAACTGTTTCTTGCCTAGCTAGGGCTTTCCTAGCTATGGCGCCTTCTTCTACTGCTCATCTTCACATGGTATTAGAGCGATATGCTCCTGGCCTGTGGGCGCGCGGCCCGTACGGGCTGCGCCAGGCCCGCGCGCGGCCCGTACGGGCTGCGCCAGGCCCGCGCGCGGCCCGTACGGGCTGCGCCAGGCCCGCGCGCGGCCCGTACGGACTGCGCCAGGCCCGCGCGCGGCTCGAGCCGCCTGCGCGCGGTTCGGGAGGCTGTGCCAGGCCCGTGGGCGGCCCGTTCTTCGCTGCCCCTGTCCTCCCCGCTGTCCCCCGTGCTTCTGAAGGCGCCCCACCCCTCCTTCTGCCCGTTCTCCTGGATTAGGGTTTGGGGGTGGGGGGTATGGGGGTGCAGCTTCTGTGTGCCGCTCCTCCTCCTCCTCCGTCTCCCTGTGCTGCAGCTGCCGCTGAAGGGGGGTGGACCTGTTGGAGCCGTCGGAGTGGTACTAAGGGGGGGTGAAGGGGGAGTGGAGCTAGGGATGAAGCAGGGGGTGTGTGTCAGGGGGGGTGGTACTGTTTGGGGGAGGTTGAATGGAGGTTGACGTCGTGTCGCCAGCAGCACCTGTAGTCCGGGGAGTTGCTCCGGTAGCCCAGTCGTAGCCACCTGTGCCAGTCGCCCGTGGGTCCGTTGCTCGTCTGCCGCTACTTTTAGCCGCGGGGCCAGTTACTCCAGTAGTCCGGAGCGCTGTTCCGGTAGCCGCTGTGCCAGTGTGCCTCCTGTTTCCCGTGTGTCTGCAGCTTCAGCCGTCGCCTCCTATCTCCTCTCCTCTCACTGTCCCTCCTCCTCCTCACTTGCCCGTTGTGACTACCACTAGCTTTGCTCATAATTGTGAACTTTAAACTATTGCTTCCTGAACTTGTGCTCAGAATGTGTGGTGACATTGTGATCCACCCTGAGCTTGTTCTGCTTTGCTTGCTCTGCTGATTACACCCCACTTTGGCTATGGGGGTGTGTCAGAATATTATGCTCTAGCCTGTAGTGGGGTGCTCTATAGCGAGTACAACCCTTCTAGGGTTTGCTATTTGTATCTTCATTCTTGCTAGTGCAACTCCTCTTTCTTTGCCTAAACTGTTTCTTGCCTAGCTAGGGCTTTCCTAGCTATGGCGCCTTCTTCTACTGCTCATCTTCACAGTGCCGATGAGCTCCAGAAAGGCGCCAGCACGCGGCAACGCACCCGTCCGCCTTAAGCAGTAAGCGTCCCAGGGTTGGTAGCTAGGCGTCCAAGGCCATGACGCTAGCGCTTCAGGTACGAGCTCCACAGGGCTCAGCACACTAGGTGCTAGCGCCCAAACGTTGGAGCCCGCTGCGCGAGCGTGCTAGGCGCTAGCTCACTAGTCGCCACCAGCCTGACGAGCGTCTGAGGCGCCAAAACCTTAGAAGCCGGCACTCTAAGCGCCAGCGCAGAAAGCGACACTCATTTGCATAAATAGCCCCACGCACTCACCTACTCACTCACCCACTCACTCACTCTCTCACTCACTCAACCACGCACTCACCCACTCATTCACTCTCTCACTCACTCAACCACGCACTCACCCAGTCACTCACTCTCACACTCAGTCACTCAGCCACGTGCTAGCCCACTCAGCCACTCTCGCGCACTCACCCTCGTATTCAACCATGCACGCACTCATGCACCCACGCACTCACTCACGCATCCACCCTCGCACTCAGTCACGCACTCAATCACGCAGTCGGCCAAGCACTTAATCACACACTCACACGCTCAGCCACTCACTCATCATCGCACTCAGTTACACACTCACCCTCGCATTCACCCTCACTCTCAGCCAATCCTCACCTTCACAATCAGTCAATCACTCACCTTCACAATCAGCCAATCACTCACATTCACAATCAGCCAATCACTCACCTCACGCACTCACCTTCGCACTCCCGCACGCACTCACCCTCTCACTCACATTTCCAGTCTGCCACGCACTCACTTACTCACTCAGCCACGCACTCAGCCTAGCACTCACTCTCGCAGTCACTCTCGCACTCAATCACTAACTCACCCTTGCACTCAATCATGCTTTCACACTTGCACTCCGTTACACACTCGTCCTCGCATTCACCCACACATTCAGCCACGCATTCGCACACCGCACTCAGTCACGCACTCACTTCCACAATCGTGCAATCAATCCCGCACTTTCCTCGCACCCACCCTTGCACTCGTTCACGCACCCACGCACTCACCCTTTCACACACCTTTGCAGACTGCCACACACTTCTCTCAGCCAATCTCTCACCTTCACACTAAGCCACACACTCACACACGCACTCACCCTTGCACTCACCCTTGCACTCACCGTTGCACTCACTCTCGCACTCTCTCTCGCCCTCGAGCACACACTCAGCACCCACCCTCACTCACCTTTGCAGTCCACCACGCACTCGCTCACTCACTCAGCCTAGCAGTCACTCTCTCATTCAGCCACGCACTCAGCCACTCACTCGACCACACACTCAGCCATGCACCATACCACGCACTTACCCACGCACTCAATCACGCAGCCAGCCACGCACCCATCACGCACTCACTCTCGCATTCAGCAACGCACACACTCTTGCACTTAATCACTCACTCATCCTTGCAGTCGGCCATGCTCTCTCCTACGCACTCACGCACGCACTCACGCTCGCACTTACCCTCACACTCACACATGCACTCATCCTTACACTCAGCCGCAGACCAACTGAAGCGCTTACCCTCGCACTTACCCTCGCACTCACCGACCGATTCATGCACGCACCCACTCCCTAAGCCACGCACTCAACCACGCATTCACTCTCGCACTCAGCTACTCACGCACTCACCCACTCACTCACCCACTCACTCACTCAGTCTCTCACTCTACCACTCTCGCACACAGCCATGCACTCACTCGTGCATCCACACACTCACTTATGCACTTGCTTTCGCACCCACCCTCGCACTCACCTCGCACTCGCACTCGCACTCACTCACGGTCAACCACACACTTGCTCACCCAGGCAATCAGCCACTTACCCATCGTTGCGCTCAGTCACACACTTATCCTCGGCCAAGCACTGACCCTCACACTCAGCCACACTAAGCCACACACTCGCTCATGCACTTACCCTTGCACTCAACCTCTCCCTCACGCACAAAGTCGGCACTCACCCTCTCACTCACCTTTGCAGTCACCCACGCACTCGCTCACTCACTCACTCAGCCTAGCACTCACTCGCGCTTTGTCACGCCATCGCATTCACCGTCGCACTCACTCTCGGACTCACCTACGCACTTACCCACGCACTCACCAAACACTCAACTTTGCATTCAGCCACACACCCACTCATACACTCACAATCGCACTCAACAACTCACTCACCCACGCACTCACTCTCGCGCTCACCATTGCAATCAGCCACGCACTCCTTCACTCACTCAGCCACCACTCAGCCATGCACTCAGTCTCGCACTCACTCACGCTCTCAACCACACTCATCCATGCGCTCACACAAGCATTCACGCTTGAACTCAGCCACACATTCACCTTCGCACTCAATCAAACACTTATCTTCTTACTCTCCTTTGCGCGCACTCACACACGCAGCTACGTCTACTAGCTCACGCGAAAGTGGCCTAAAAAGGCGTATATGAAACTCACATGGGAACAGGTTGGCGGAGGGCGGACAGAGGCGGAAGGTGGCCATGTTAGCCACTTGTTGGGGACAAAGCTGAGTGGGGAGAAGGAATGGCATATCGGAAAGGGGAGGTTAGAGAGAATAAATGATGTGAAATTTTGATGAACTTAAAATTGACCTTGCAACGAAGTTTAAAATAGAAGCTTAGAGGAGGGGATGGATCATGGAAGTGATTGGTGGGGGGAAGAAAGAGGCACGAAATCAGCAATTGGTGTGCAACAATACAGAAAGGTGTACGTGGTAGAGGACTTGATGGGGCATGAGAAGGGAGGGAAACAGCGAGAGTGACAAACGTGAGCAAAAACGAAGCAAGGACGATGCAGCCTTCGCGCTTTGGCGCCAGTGCCTACAGCGATCAAGGCGCCAGCACGCAAGGCGCCAGCGAAACATGCGCCAAGGCGCCAGCAAAAATGGCGCCAAGGCGCCAGCGAAAATGGCGCCAAGGCGCCAGCGAATAATGCGCAAAGGCGCCAGCTAAAGGGCGCCAAGGCGCCAGCGAAAAGGGCGCCAAGGCGCCAGCGAAATGGCGCCAAGGCGCCAGCGAAAATGGCGCCAAGGCGCCTGCCTCAAGGCGCCAGCCTTGATGGCGCCAAACGCCCCGCCAGCGCTAGTAGCACCTACCGGAGCAATTGATGAGGCACGGTAGAGGAGACTATTGTTGAAGGTCTTTACCAAAGAACGAAACTGAACCTAGTACTGCTCTGCCAAAGTTTGAACAATCTTGGTAGAAACGAGAAGCTTTGATAAGATTCAAGAATAGAGAAGCAAGAGATGACTGAAACAAGAAACGGATTCTGTTGCTTGAATGGTGTTCGACCTCCTCGCGATAGTGGGCATCGAGGGAGCAAGAAACGTTGAGCAAGAAACATGCGCTTTGGAGCAACAATACCTAGAACCAGCGCCAGCTTCAGAGTGTTACGTTCCAGCGTGTACGAGCACGTGAAATTCAGCTGACTCAGCTGATACACTAAAACGCATCAGCATTTTGCGTCAGCTCAACAAAACGTGGCGAAAGTTAAAAAACGAAACCCACATACCCCATATTAGTCCTAAATCATTTCTCTACACCGTAAGTAACCACGAAGTACATGCTTATATTCTTCAGTCAAAATCCCTCATGATTGGGCATTCGGTGTAGATAGAGACGAAATGCAATACGTATAATACAAAACGACTGAAGAGGGTGGGAGAAAGGTACAGATAAACGTAAGTGGATTTGAAAAAAATATATACATCTTTGTTGCCAGGGCCCTCGCTATCAGACATTTCTGTCTGTTTTTCTGAGAAATCAGACAGATTTTTTTTCACTCATCTGATTTTCAAGAAATGGGTGCATTATGCCGTCTGATGGGTCAGAAATGGTTTTTAGTTTCCATCTGTTCTATCAGACACCTGTTTTCTGTTTCGTCTGAAATCGAGACATAGCATATCGCGATTTCCAGCGGTGGGAAGGGAATCTCTCCTGTGACAGTGCATGGATCACTGCTGTGACAGGTTGACTCGTTGCAATCTTTATACGCAGTGCGAACCCCTCTTGTGATAGGGCGAATGTGGTGAAAAGGGGCGAATGTGGTGTGACGGGGCGAATGTGGTGTGACGGGGCGAATGTAGTATGACAGGGTGAGTGTTGTGTGCCCTTAGAATGGATGTGACAGGCGAGAGAGAAGTTCGACTCAATTTTTTTCCCACGTGCATCTGCACACTCGTAACTCTGTATTGATTGGTCAGACAAGGTTTTTGAAAATTTCTGATTCGTCAGAAACTCAAAAGCAAAAATTCTGATGCATCAGACGGGCCCTTCGGGCCCGTCTGATGCATAAGAAGGGTTCAAAACCTAGCGAGGACCCTGTTTGTTGCGTATCTTGAGTACGGTATTCATATTCTACGCAACCCTTACGGCATTCATCGTCGAGCCTTGTTTCCCTAGGTAACGCTGACTGTCAGCGTTTTTTTCCGTACCAGCGCTGATCGATCAGCCTGGTCCAAAACAAATCATTCCTTGTCAACTTGCACGATGTTTTCTGTGATATAATCCTCATATAACGACTTGATTGATTTTTTGAAGACAAGATTTGCAATCGGGTGTTGAAAGATCCATGTCAAGAATTTCTCATTAAAAAAGCGCTTGCGCTAATAACTTCTAAGATATTTGAAGCACACCCCCTAAATTAACGTGATTCATTATCAAGTGCCCGTGAGCTTATATCCGGGGTAACACGGTAATCATTCTCCGATCTCTTGGGAAACTGTTGACCTTGCACCAAGCAGGTTTGCCATGTTGAATGCTTTGCTGGCCCAGTCGATGTTGTTGATGTCGAGTGGGTTGCAACTTCACAACCCAAACCCACCACAGGCCTATCCATGGCTGCTGGCATCCACTCAACCCCTCGTCTTTCTCGCAGTGTCTATCCAGTCGACTCGCAGAGTCGCGTTGGAACGACCTGTCATCGTGGTGTCTCAAAGGTTTCCGTTGCGTGTCGTCCCCTAGTTTTGAAATCGATTGTCGTGCGAGCTTCAAATCAGGCTGCCACTCAAACGCAACGATCATGGTCCACAGAAGATTCCGCCGCGTTTTATAAGGTCGAAGGCTGGGGAGCATCATACTTTGCCGTGAATGAGAAGGGTCATGTCGTTGTTTCACCGGACGCATCAGATGACGGTAAAATCTGGTGCATGCAAGAAATGGGTGCTGTTTTCGCACCTTCTTCACGAATTTCGCGGTTGTGACTCGCAGGTGCGGAAACCATTGACCTTTTTGAGCTGGTGGACTCTCTCAAGCGCAGAAATGTCCAGCTACCAATGGTTATTCGGTTTCCCGATATTATCCAAAATCGTATGCAAGAGCTTCAGAACTGTTTCGATGCGGCCATCGCGCGGTTCGGCTGTGAGGTAAGCTATTGATCTTTAGATTCCGGAAATACTTGTGAGGTCGAGCTCGCCAGCGATGATTGTGGTGCTTAGCATTAACAAGTGCGTCGACACGTGCTTCAGGGAGCATTTCAAGGCGTTTTTCCAGTAAAGTGCAATCAGGATCGCCGCCTGCTTGAGGATATCGTGGAATATGGCCGACCAATCAAGTTTGGCTTGGAGGCTGGTTCAAAGCCAGAGTTATTGATTGCGATGTCACAGCTCAAGGACAACGATGGTGCAATCCTAGTCTGCAATGGTTACAAGGTAACGTGGTGTGTGTTGTCTGTGCCTTGTTGTGCTCGGTCCATTGATCCTGCGGTATCAACATTGATGAAGTTCATTGGATCCGTGTTGTGCTCACCTTTGGCTATGGCAGGATCAAGAATACATCGAGAATGCGCTTGTTGCAAGGAAGCTTGGACTCAATTCGGTTATTGTTCTTGAACAGGTTACTAGCGTTTCATTCTTCCATTACCGTTAGTTTGCTGCATCCTGCTCCCGATCAAATATTGGTTTTCTTAATGACGACCCAACAGATGCAAGAACTTCCTCTGGTCCTGGAAGCAAGCAAGCGGTTGGATGCACGGCCTCTTATTGGAGTCAGGGCCAAGCTAAGCACACGGCATGATGGCCACTGGGGTGAAACTTCTGGCGACCGTGCGAAGTTTGGACTGAGCGTCAACGAGATTGTGAGGGTTGTTAAAATTCTCAGAGAGGTATACAGGCGGTGATCATGTTGGCCCTATTTTTTAAGCCATATTTGTGTTGCATATGAATGGTATAACATGTTTGTTTGTTTCTTTGCAGCATGAAATGCTGGACTGCCTACAACTTCTTCACTTTCACATTGGTTCACAAATACCATCAATTTCGCTGATCAAGGAAGCCATGCGGGAAGGCAGTCATCTTTACTGTGAACTTGCTTTGATGGGTGCAAAAATGGTGGGCCGTTGTTACACGTGTGCGTCAAAGTTTCAGCATGTTTATATATCCCCGCTGTGCTGATCGTGTGAGGGCATTATGCAGGGATTTATTGATGTTGGCGGTGGTCTAGGTATTGATTATGACGGTTCAAGAAGCTCGTCTGTTGCCTCAACGAATTACACTATGCAGGTATGCCATCTATGTGCTGCAACGTGTTTTTTTTTTGCCTTGTCCATGTCTGATCTGCATTGGTTTCCTCTATCTCCAGAACTATGCCAACGATGTGGTGGCTGCAGTTGTTGACGCCTGCTTGCTGAAAGGAGTCAAACAACCAATAATCTTGACTGAGAGTGGCAGGGCTTTGGCCTCTCACCAGTCCGTCCTTGTGTTTGACGTCCTCAGCGCAAACATCTTCAACGAGTCCCACGCCCTTCAGAACTTTCAGATGCTTGGTCCAGATTCAGCAGACCAAGTCGTGCCTCCCGAGCAATTCACAGGGGGGGACAAGCCGAAGCCCAGGAAGGCCAGGCATGGAAGGCTGGAGAATGGAGCAGGGACTTATCTTCTACGCACATTCCACGAGGTTCTCGAGACAATGGATGAGACCAATTTTCAGGAGGCCTATCATGACGCCAAGCAGTTCAAGGCGGAGGCAACTGCTTTGTTTAAGCTGGGATGTCTAACTCTTGAGCAGAGGGCACAGGCAGACTCTCTATACCAGGTGATTCTTCTGTTGATGCTATCGTTGTCTAAACTAATGAGTTTCAGATGGTGATCAAGTATCTCCCAACTTCTCATTTCTCCCTCTCTTGCTCCTGCTATCCCTCTTGCGTTGTTTCTCCTGTCTGAAGCAGGTCATCTGCCATGAGGTTCTTCGTTTTGCTCGAGAAACTGGCGAGATGGCAGATGATGCGGAGACTCTTCGCCGATCATTTGCAGCAATTTACCATGTGAATCTCTCAGTCTTCCGCTCTGTCCCTGACTCGTGGGCTATCAGCCAGGTCTTCCCCATCATGCCCATCCACCGACTGGATGAGGAGCCTGCAATTCAGGCCACACTTGCTGATCTGACATGTGACAGTGATGGCAAGATTGACCACTTTCCTGGTTACCCCAATGCAACTGGGAAAGTTATTGCGGTGCATGAGCTGGAGGAAGACCGACCGTATTATCTTGGGCTATTCCTTGCAGGAACTTATCAGGTACTTTTAGCCTTCCTGTGCCAACCCCTTTTATATCAGCTTGATACACCTTCTGTCCCTATTCACTGTCAGCATTCTGTTGGTCTTGTCTGAATTCCATCTATTTATCCCATGTCTTCACATATTCCATACACCCCCTCCGTGTACGGCGCAGGAGGTGATGGGAAGCTCCCACAACCTATTTGGGACCACCAATGTGGTTTATGTTCGTGCAAGGCCAAAATCCTCCAATAAGGCTTGCAATGGCGTGCAGTCCAAGCCAATTGGGAAGTTGATTTTCCACAGAGGCGGCTACAGCATAGAACATGTGGTTCCGGGCCAGACCACCAACCAAGTGCTTCGTACAGTTCAGGTTTGTTTCCTGAAGCTGTGGTAGTTATATCCATCAGAATTTCAAAATCCAACAAGCATGAGATCCAACACATTATTTGACTGTGTGTGCAGCATGACGCCGACGACATGATGGAGGATCTTCGCAACAAAGCTGAGGAAGCTGTAGCAGAAGGAAACCTATCTCTTGAAGAGGCGCAAACACTCCTGCACAACTTGAAGAAGACAATGCACTCATACACCTACCTGTCAAGCTAGCCGGCCACCATGACATGCCACGGTACGTATTCATGAGAGGGGCTCATTGCAGTGCACTGCGTGCAATCATTACATCACGTCGTTGCATGCCAATCATGTGCAAGAATTGTTCAGGCCAGAATGTTGGAGATGACTCAGGCCCAAAAAGTTGTAAGCTACTTTGTTAAATACAGATAGTTCTACACTTCTTGCAGTAATTTCATGAACTTTAGAGTAGAACAAGATAGAGCCCAAGACTTGGACTGAACTTATCAATCAAACCACCTGGTCTAGACGCACGGTGGTGCCACCCTATAACAATCTAAACAGAGATGCATACACACTATAGCTAGAACCGCCTCATAAATCCAAATTAGCGATTAAAGGATCTCACTAGGAGATCACTAACATTAGCAGTTACTTCTTGCTTGGGGTCGAGCCAATCATGCCTTCGAGTTTTTTCTGTGCAGCCTCTTCTGGAAGATGGAAAAGGTCATGCATACGCCACACCTGATGCAGCAGCCAATCATGGGCGTGTTTGTATGAAATCAATGTGGGAGCAAATGTCATGGGTGGGGTATGTGGGTATGTGGGTGTGTGGGGAGGTGTGTGGGTGTGTGTGGGTGTGGGTGTGGGTATGGGTGTGCATGTGTGTGTGTGGGGGGGGTTGTGGATGTGTGTGTGAGTGTGTGTGCAGGGAGAAAGACATTGATAGAAATGGAGGGTGAGAGAACGGACAGAGAGAGGAAGGGAGGGAAAACGGGTGAGAGAAGCGGGAAAAGTCGGGGAGTTCCAGGGGACGAACGAGAGCGAAGAGTTTGTGAGACAGCAGTACTACAGAAGAGGGGCAGGAAAACTACGGGACGGCCAGCATGAGAAGGTCATTGAATAATGGACTTGTCACAAGTGCACTGCAGTGCAGTGAGCCCAGCTCCCTGCCTGCACCATGTGCAAGCATCTCGCCCCTGTATACACCACACCACGCCCACCTGCAGGGTGCCTCCTCCTATCCGGCCCGAGTCAATGGATGTGCTGACCACCGTCCACGGCCGATGGGGGTTCCAGTGGAACTCACACACCTTCTCCCTGCTCACCACATATGCAATAGAGGGAGAGAGGGCCGGCAGATAACGCAAGGAAGATTGAGAGGACTACCAGCCCAAACCCTCCCATACCTCCTCTCAAACACATTTGCACGCAAACACACACACCATCACGACCCACCCTCCTCCCGCATCCAGCATCCAGCTCTCACCCGCCCTCCAACCACCTTATATGCCGCTATGCTCCACCCTTGCAGCCCATGCGTGTGCACGCACAGCAGTGTGTGCTGCCACTCACCGGTGCCCCAGGTGTTGGAACATGTTCATCTGGCGGCCCTGCGCTGCCCCTCCACCAGGCTTGTCGCCTGGTGCCCCCATGATGTGCGATGCGTCTGTGACCTGGATGAGCCCGTCGTCCCCCGCACTGCCAAACACCCCCCGAGCTGATGGGTGCCACTGCCGTGCAGCGAGCGGGAGGGGAGAGGAGAGGGAGAGGGAGCGAGAGAGGGAGGGAGAGAGGGAGATGGAGAGGGAGAGGGAGGGGAAGAGGAGATACAGGAGGAAATGGAAAAGAGTGGGGGAGAGATGGTGGGAAATGGAAGGGAGAGGGGAAAGAGAGAGGAAGAGGGGAGGAAATACAAGAGGGAGGGGAAAGAGACAGGTGAGCGGAATGGGTTTGGGCAATTAGACTGTTAAAGAGCAGTTGGTGTTACACCCTCACTTCCGTTCCGTGTTCCCAACCTTCCCCACCCGCCTTGCCTGCTCCCGCCCCACCCTTCACTCATTCGAATATCCAACTCCAGTGATCATGGCACTCGCCACCCCATCGCCCCACACATGCACCAGGCATACGCACGCGCAGCACACAGCACACGGCATGCAGCATGCACTGCAACTGTCCATGGCAGGGCGCACACCTGCACGCAGGTGACAGCGTCCAGGTGGTGCTTGAAGATATGCACGGGCGTGCATCAAGCACGCACACACACACACACACACACACCAAGTACGCAGCACACAGGGGCCCGGCAAGCGGGCATGGCAGCGAGCGCACCTGCACGCAGGTGACGGCGTCGAGGTGGTGCTTGAAGGTGTGCACGGGCGTGCAGTGGCCTGCCGTGGGCAGCTTGCGGCGGTCAAACAGGCGCACCGAGTGGTCGGCAGACCCCGTCAGGATGTAGCTGTCGTCCAGCCGCGACCAGTCCACACAGTGCAGATCCGCGTTGTGTGCTCGCTCCACCTGGGCAGGCGGGGAGAGGGGTGGGAGAGATGGGAGAGAGACGCTGATGGGAAGAGGGCGGGTTCTGGAGAGCGAGAGGGAGCGGGAGGGGATTTAGGCAGTGGTGAAGAGAGGGAGGGGAGGGATCCTGGAGGCAAGGAGTGCAGGGAAGCACCCCACAGAGACACACAGTAGAGATAAGCATGGCCAAAACCAAATCAGGCCAATCTGGGTTTCAGGGGACCAAGCCTCTGTTTTCGCAAATCCAGTTAAAGGCACGCCAGTCCCGGGCCAGCCTTTGCACATATCCACCACGCAGCACCACCATGCCATCACTCTCCTTCCTGCTCGCCCCTCCCCCCCTTTCACTCCCCCCCTCCCCCCCAACCGCACAGCCAGCAACCCAGCACGCCCTGCCCTTCCCCAGGCGCATGCGCATGCCTTGTTGACGGGCGTGGTGCCGCGGCGGGTGTCCCAGAGCAGCAGGCAGTAGTCGTCGCCCACAGAGCAGAACAGCCGTGCGTCGCTGGGGCTGAACTGCACGTCCTCCACCGTCGCCCGGTGCCCTGTGAACGTCTCCCTGCAGTGCAGCACCGGCGCTGCCAGCTCCGACGAATCGTCCTGTGCGCAGGGGAGAGAGCGGATGCGAGGTGTGAGGGGAGCAAGCAGCAAGGTGCCCTGTGAACGTCTCCCTGCAGTGCAGCACCGGCGCTGCCAGCTCCGACGAATCGTCCTGCGCGCAGGGGAGAGAGCGGATGCGAGGTGTGAGGGGAGCAAGCAGCAAGGTGCCCTGTGAACGTCTCCCTGCAGTGCAGCACCGGCGCTGCCAGCTCCGACGAATCGTCCTGCGCGCAGGGGAGAGAGCGGATGCGAGGTGTGAGGGGAGCAAGCAGCAAGGTGCCCTGTGAACGTCTCCCTGCAGTGCAGCACCGGCGCTGCCAGCTCCGACGAATCGTCCTGCGCGCAGGGGAGAGAGCGGATGCGAGGTGTGAGGGGAGCAAGCAGCAAGGTGCCCTGTGAACGTCTCCCTGCAGTGCAGCACCGGCGCTGCCAGCTCCGACGAATCGTCCTGCTTCCCCGCGGCCCCCAGGCGTGGCATGGAAGGGGCGGGGAGAGCGGGGAGGAGGAGGGAAGGGGGGAAGGGGGAAGGGGGAAGGGACGGCGGGCAGGGGAAAGAATGGGCGAGAGTGTGGCGGGAGCAGGCGGAGGTGGCGTGTTAGTCCAGCAGCAACACAAGCCCCTCCCTTCACCACGCAAAAACCCTGCATCTCCTTAACCTTTTCCCCACCCCCCCTCCCCTCCTCTCCCAGCTCCCCTTCCCTTCGTTCTCCTCCCACCCCGTCCCCCTCCCCTTCCCCTTCACCCACCCTTGCCCTCCCTCTCCCCCCCAGTGCTCACGGTGCTGGCCTTGGAGACGTGGTCCTGCAGGCCCCACAGCACCACGTGCCGGTCCGTGCCCCCGCTCAGCACAAACGGGTCGCTCGCCGCTGTCGCCAGCGCAAACTGCGCCACGTCCGTGTGCCCCCGCAGCACCTGGGGGGGGAAGAGGGGGACGGGGGTGGCAGCGAGTAGGCGGGCGGGGACAACAGGAGAATGTAGTGGGTTAGAGGGGAAGTGGCGGTGGCACTTGTTGAGGAGTGTGGTGTGGGCAGCAGCACAGGAGCAGTGAGAGAGAGGGGGAGAGGGAGAGAGGAAGAAAGAACACGTGTGACCTGGGTATGAGACGAAGGCGAAACAAGCAGCCTAAAGGAGCAGCGACGGAGCAACGAGCAACGAGACACTCGGCACAGCAGAGGCGCCCCACCAGGTCGGGCACAGACGGCTTGTCGGAGGCAGCGCCGTCCCCCTTGGCGTCATTCCTGCGGTCGTCCTGCGACTCCATGTTCCAGATGAACACGTCCCGTGCGTCCGTGTGCGTGGCGAGGATCTGCGGGAACTGCGGCAACTCGCGGATGCGGTTGACCTCGCCCGGGTGCTGCACTGCCTTGAGCACTCCCACCAGCGCCGATGGGTCGTCCTCCTCGAAGTCCGCTAGCAGGCTGGGTGCCACTGCATCGTTGTCCGCCACCTGGGGGATGGGGGAGCGCGAGGGGGGAGGGGGAAGGGCCGAGAGGCGAGGGGCGAGGGGGGAGAAGTGGGGGAGAGTGGGGGAGGGATGGAGGAATGGGGAGTGAGGGGAGAGGGGGAAGGGGGAAGGGGCGGAAGAGGTGGGAGGGGTGGCAAGGAAAGGGCTAGCGTGTGTGCACTCCTGGCAGAGCGTGGAAGCTGGCGAGCAGGGCGAGGAGAGGCAGAGGCAAGGTCACGCGCTCCTCTCTCCCACAGCACGCTCACTGCCTTGCCTGTCACCACCGTCCTTCCTTGCGCCACCGTGCAGCACGGCACGAGCAGGACGAACGCAGGTGCTGTGCCTCATGCCACTGCTTCATCCATTACCCCACTGCCATTCACCACACCACACCCCTTCCCCGTCCGCGTCCCTCAAACCCTACCACGCTCCTGCACCGCAACACCCCTTCCCATGCACCGTCACCTCTGCCCCCACTAACCCTGACCTCCCCATGCTGCCACTCAACCAACCCAACCCCCTCCTCCGCTCTACCCCTCCCTCCCAGAAGCCCTCCCCCCGTCTTCCCCGCTCACGGCGACGTTGGCGAGGAGAAGCGTGTTGGGCGCGGTGCCGTCGGTCTGCTCGCTGATGTACACGTACTGCTCGCTGTACGCGCCGTGCTCCGCGCGCACCGGGCCCCACCTGCACCCGCGCGCGGTCGGGAGGGGGTGAGGGGGAGGGGGATGCGGGGGGGGGGGGGGGGGGGGGGGGGGTGGAGAAGGCGCGAAGGGGCGCGGGAAGGGGCGCAGGAAGGGGCACGGGGAGGGGCATCAACAGTTCAGCGGGCGGCGCGAGAGCGCGTAGGGGTGCAAGCGCAGCGAGGGTCGGAAGGCCGGAGGAGAGGCGGGGGTGCGCGAGGCTGTACGAAGAGGCGAGGGGGGATACGATTGGCGCGCGGAAAGGGGTAATGGCGGGCGGAGCGACGAGAGCGAGGAAGCGCGCGGGGGACATCAAGAAGGGCAGGCGCATGGCAATCAGGGAAATAGGGGCGCGCCTGCCGTGCGCGCGGAGCGTGGAGCGCAGTGCGTGGAGGGAGCAGTATGACGGAAACCACGCGGCGTCATTCACAGTAGGTCGAAACCGGCGCCGGACGCCGCGCTAACGCAAAATAAACACGCGGCGGGGAGGCGGAAGGGAGAGCAGAGCGAGGGGAGGGAGGCGCAGCGGAGCGACGCGCACGCGAGACACAAAGCAGGGGGCGCAGCGGAGCAACGCGCACGCGAGACACAAAGCAGGGGGCGCACCGGCAGGAGAGCGAGGGCCACATGAGGTGGTGGTTGAAGAACCAATCGTATAGCACCGGCACGTCCTGCCGCCATTTCTCGCGGAAGCCCGGCGCTCTAACGTCCTTCACCATTGCCGCGACGGACGAGGCAGAGGGGCGAGGGGGGACGCGGTGTGAGTGCTGTGATGCTGCAGATGGACTATCGGTGTTCTCACACGAGCCCTAGGTTTTCACCTGCAGCGTGCCGGGGCGCTTTTCAACACGGGGAGAAACGAGAAAGAAGAGAGAAATTGGACGTTCAAATGGCGCTCGCACATAACTTGAGGAGCTGGTTTCTGGTTGGTTCGGTTTTAGGGCGCGGTATCTGGGGGTGCGAAACGGGTGTGCCGAGATTTAAAAAATATATATATATATATAGTGTTATTGAAAGTATACACTGCGAACACAAATGCACACTAACAATAGCGGTCGTGACCGAGCTTGAGTGAGCAAAACTAGCTGCCCCAGCAAAGAGTCTACGGTGGGTTGATGACCGTCCTTGGATTGGTCCAGATGGGTCCGAAAGCTCTGGTCCATGCCGATTATTTTATCATCGTTGGTTTGAATCCTCCTCAGCAAACGATCTTCCGCCAGTAAGGCCTTCTGAAATCTTCCACGTTGCGCATATTTCTTCTTCTTTTGCCACGCCATCAAGCGAGCTTTGACGTACACCCTCGCATGCTGTCGAAAAGCGAATATAATCATTCTCAGCACTCGGCGCGCCCAGAACAGGGCTCATTTTTGGTTTTGACCAACCCTTACGATTAGTCTAGCACCTGTTCAAAAACCTGATTTTCAGGGTTGCCCGTTGTGGAAAACCTGATGCGTCAGGGTTTTTGCATGTATTAAAACGACTACCCTGAGTCATCAGTGTACCAATTCGCAAAACCCTGTTTCAGTTGTTATTAACAGAGCACACAATAACAAGCCTAATCATCATCTTCAGACATGCCACACGGATGTTGCTCGTGGTCACTGTCCTCCTCTGGCTCCTGTGAAACTGTATTTCTGGCCAATGGTGGCCCACCTCGTTCCAGCACACGTAAAGTCTTGCCGAAATCTACATTTTCGACAGTTGGCAAAGGGAAAATCCAGGTTTCGGGGTCGGGTGGTTACGGGACGCGTGGGGGGGGGGGGGGGGGGTTCGCTGGTACGCGCTTCAGGGTAAACCTCGATAAGCGGAACGGCAACCCTGAGGCGACAGTGTTCCTTAATCTTAAAACCTGACACATCAGGGTAAATCAAGGTCCCGAAAAAATTACCCAACAGCATCAGTGTTACTACCAAAAATCACCCTTCTAGTCAAGGCATCAGGGTGATTTACACTGATAACGTGGGCCCTGGCCCAGAACTTCCACCCTCTGAAGACCGCTTCGCATATTTCCAACAATATTTGATGCAGGGTGATTGCGGTAACGGTTTCTTCGCTGAAAACTGTTGGGCTGAGAAAAGCCCTTAGGATCTTTGCAAGGCTAAACTCAGAGTAGGAATGTTGTAGTTGCGGAAGCGTTTTAATGATAAGTATTGAACCACCTTGCGCTAGTATGTGAGGGCAAGATCGATTAATTAAAACAAGGAGATACAAGGTTTTTATAAGAGAACAAGGAATACGAAGAGATACAGCTAATAACCGTTTTACTGTTGCTGTTGCGGTTCGATACAGTGACGACTCGGGCAACTGCTCAACAACGAGTCAGTTGTTTGTCCTTGCTGTCGCGCTGTATTTGTCAGGTCAAAGGTCGCCGACCTTTGACTTTCGCGTAACCTCCAGTAGTTACTTTCCTTCTTCAACCTCCGATGGTTGACTCACTCATGCTTCGTTGTTCTTCGCTTCGTTTACGACTTAGTGTTTCAACTCAACAGAAGCGCTTAAATCACATGTTTCCAACACTCCCCTTCGCTTCTGGAGTGTCGTTGCTGGTGACGTGGCCTTGATTAGTCAGCAACATGCAGTACTCGAACTTCTGTTTTCCGAGCTTCTTGGTCAAGTAATCAGCTGCAATAACGGACGTGGGGCAGTAGGACAGCTCGAGTCTCCCCTTCTCGATTTCGTCCTTCACGAAGAAATATCGTAGTGCGATGTGCTTCGTCCTGCTCGCAAATCCGCTCTTGTTTGCTATGCGGATCGCTGACTGATTGTCGCAAAACAGGGAGAAGCTGGGTAACTGGGCCAGCTTCGCCTCTTCCAGCAGTTCGCGAAGGTACAGTCCTTCCTTGGTCGCTGAGCAGAGGGCAATATATTTTGCTTCAGCCGAGGAGAGAGCAATTAGTTCCTGCTTGCTCGACTGCCACGAGATGGGCTCGATAGGCTCGAGTCGGTAGATGTAGCCGTTGCGCGAGCGCCTGTTGTCAGAGTCGCTAGCGTGGTCAGCGTCGACGTAGCCGATTAGCTTAGGCGTTGTGGTTCCGGTCTTGTGGTAGGTTAGTCCGATCGTCGGGGTGCTGACGAGGTAGTGCAGTGCGCGATCGAGCTCAAGTATCTGCTGAACCGTGCAGAGCCTGCTGAACCGTGGCAGGCTCCTTAGGTGGCGCTGAGCCGTGGACTGCGGTGACGAGGCCAAGTATCTGCAGGCCGCTCTGTGTGTAGGGGGGAGAGTTGTGTCCTCGGGATAAGCTGCTTCGTCACCTGCTTCTGGATCAGGTAAGAAATTGGGTCCTATGCGTTCGGCTTCGTTGGTGTTGACTCGGGCGGGTGTAACGTAACCAGTGTCGGCGAAGTCGTAGAAGACTTCGGCGTTGATGCTCTCGCGAGGGTTATCGTCGTCCATTGGGATGTCCACCGAACAGTAGGGAAGAGGTCCAGCTTCTTCCGAAGCTCCATCCATGGTCTGCTCGTCCAGGTCAGCTTCATCTTCTGCCGAAGCGAAAGCTCGGTACCCACGAAATCCGCCTGTGACATCCCGTGAGGTTTCCAGGTTGTACAGGTATGTTGGAAGAGTGAGACGTTCGTAGAAAATGACATCACGTGCTGCCACTGTTTCCTTTGTGTTGATGTCGAAAATCTTCCATGCGTTGTAATGTTTTTCGATGCCCAGGTGTAGTCCCCATTGTGCGCGTTGGGAGAATCGACTGGCGCGTGCAGCTTGTGAAAATAGTAGGAAGAAGGGAGGATGCACTAGCAAGAATGAGGATACAAATAGCAAACCCTAGAAGGGTTGTACTCACTATAGAGCACCCCACTACAGGCTAGAGCATAATATTCTGACACACCCCCATAGCCAAAGTGGGGTGTAATCAGCAAAGCAGTACAAGCTCAGGGTGGATCACAATGTCACCACACATTCTGAGCACAAGTTCAAGAAGCAATAGTTTAAAGTTCACAATTATGAGCAAAGCTAGAGGCTATCGCAGAGGGCAAGTGAGGAGGAGGAGAGACTGTGGGGGAGAGAAGATGGGAGGCGACTGCTGACGCTGCAGACACACAGACGAGCTGCTGGCTCAGTGGCTACCGGAACAACGCTCCGGACTACTGGGGTAACTGGCCCCGCGGCTAAAAGTAGCGGCAGACGAGCAACGGACCCACGGGCGACTGGCGACTACCGGAGATTGTAGCCTCCGGACTGCTGCTGCTGCTGACGACAAGACTGCTGCCTCCACTCGACCTCCCCCAAACAGTACCACCCCTCCTGACACACACCCGCTGCTACACCGCTAGCTCCACTCCCCCTTCACCCCCCCTTAGCACCACTCCAACGGCTCCAACAAGTCCACCCCCCCTCAGCGGCAGCTGCAGCACAGGGAGACGGAGGAGGAGGAGGAGCAGGGAACGGCACACAGTAGTTTCACCCCCATACCCCTCACCCCCAAACCCTAATTCAGGAGAACGGGCTGTAGGAGGGGTGGGGCGCCAGCAGAAGCACGGGGGACAGCGGGGAGGGCAGGGGCAGTGAGGAAAGGGCCGCCCACGGGCCTGGCACAGCCTCCCGAACCGCGCGCAGGCGGCCCGAGCCGCGCGCGGGCCTGGCGCAGCCCGTACGGGCCGCGCGCGGGCCTGGCGCAGCCCGTACGGGCCGCGCGCGGGTCTGGCGCAGCCGTACGGGCCGCGCGCGGGTCTGGCGCAGCCCGTACGGGCCGCGCGCAGGCCTGGCGCAGCCCGTACGGGCCGCGCGCCGGCTGTACGGGCCGCGCGCAGGCCACGACGGGCGACGGGGGGCGACGCGCGGGTCCCCGTCGCCCGTCGCAGCGCCTCCCGAGGGCGACGCGGCGAGTGACGGGGTAGAAGCCCGCCGCGCGCCTCGGGGCGCACAGCGGGCAGAGAACCGCCGCGCGCCACGGGGCGCACGGCGGGCAGAAAACCGCCGCGCGCCTCGGGGCGCACGGCGGGAAGAAAAACTGCCGCACGCGACGGGGCGTGCGGCACAGAAGGTAGTAGTGGAAGTTGCAGCGGAAGCAACGAGGTGGTGAGCCCACCCACAGGATCGATCCAAGGGGATCGACCTGCTCTGATAGCATGTGAAAATAGTAGAAAGAAGGGAGGATGCACTAGCAAGAATGAGGATACAAATAGCAAACCCTAGAAGGGTTGTACTCACTATAGAGCACCCCACTACAGGCTAGAGCATAATATTCTGACACAGCTGGGGGTCGGTACTGTACCATGCAGCCGAACACTCGTAACATTTTTGTGTTGCCCAATTTCCCTGTCCACAGCAAATGCGGTGATGCGTTGTTCGGGAGCGATGATGACGAAAGCAAGTTGTGTCAAATGTCATATCTGCTACAGTTTGTTTAGGCTGTAGTGGGGTAGTTACTATGGGGTACAGTAAGTTTAGGGTTTCCTACTTGTACCCAACTCTTTCCTAGTTCAATCACTCTTGTTCATTTTGACATGGTATCACGAGCCTAGGTTGCCACCTAGGACCGCTTACTACTACGGGCCCACTATTCCGCTAGAAGCGCCCTCGTGCGCCCTACCTTACGTGCGCCCTCGTGCGCCTTTTTCTGCTAGTGCGCCCTCGCGCGCCTCGCCCTTCGTTCTGCCTGCGCGCCGTCCTGCAGCCCTCGCGCTGCCTCCTGCTGCCCTAGGCCAGTGCGCCGCCCCTGCAAGCTAGTAAGGCCCTCGAGCCGCCCCTGCAGGTCCGTCAGGCCCCCGA